GGGGGGAGTGAGAAATATGCCCGGGGGGGGATGGCCACACCACAGTCGCTTTTCCACCCTCCTCTCAGGATTCTGGGCAGGCGTGCACACGCACCAGCCATATTTTAAAACCACTCGGTCCAGACTCCAACCAAGCAGTCTGCCGTGTGGAACCCAGCCACCGTAACCACCATGCCACCAGCTGAAAAGCCCAGATTTCTGGCTTCCCTTGAAAAATGAAGATCTGGCCAGTGGAGCCTCCATTCTCACACATAACCCCCCCTTTCTGCCTCTCCGGCACTTCTGCGCCCCCCAGTTTGCCACATGCCCCACCCAACCCCCTTTGTCCATTTACCGAACCTGCCTGGGGACAGAGCTGCTCAGTCTCTATCAGCGCGTTGAGTCCTCCTGGCCCCGAGCTCTGGACTCCTGCGGGGCCTTCCGTAGGTGACTGGTGTCCTCCCTGCTCCCGTCCCCAGCCGTGACGTGCCCGGATGTCGGCAGCACCAGCGTGGAGCACGGCCGCTGGAGGCTGGTCTTCGAGACACAGTTCCAGTTCCAGGCCCAGCTGATGCTCATCTGCGACCCCGGCTACTACTACACGGGCCAGAGGGTCATCCGCTGTCAGGCCGACGGCAAGTGGAGCCTCGGAGACTCTCTACCCACCTGCCAAAGTAAGCCCAGGAGGCCGCGGGCAGGTCTGGCACCAGCTCCCAGCTGAGCCACCTCCCACATGGGGGAGCTGGGGCGGCAGAGCAGAAGGGTAGGGCCAGGGGCGGCAGCGTGCTCTTCCTAGACACGCCCCAAGAATCGGCCTGGAACGCCAGTTCCTTTCCTGAAGTACATGCACGAATCCACATGCCACGCCACCCTCCGTTAGCCTTACTGCACAGGTGCCAGAGACGCAGGAAGACCGCAGTGGCCCTGCCCGCCAGGAGCTCAGTCTGCTGGGAGTGTGCACGAGGCGGCGACGGAATGCCGTGTGGTGTTGTGAGACTCGCGAGGGGAGCGTGCACGGGCAGCAGGAGAGCACAGGGGACAAGCGCCCTCCGCCTCTCCTCCATTGTTAATTGATTTCCTTTGCTTTTTTGTGAGTTTTTTTCTTAAATTTCTAATTTACATATAATATTTAGTATAAGTAAGTACAGTGTGGTTTTTCAGAACAGATATTTACTGCATAATGATTATATTAGGTTCTCTAACATAATTCAAAGGTCAGGGCCCTTAACCTGACAGGTTATTAGGGAGTGCTCTTCGGATCGCCACCTGCAGCAGGGAAGAGGAGGGCAGAGACAGGGAGAGCAGGGGCCAAGGCTCGCAGAGGGAGAAGCTGGGCTCTGATGCCCTGTCTGTGAAAGCCTCAGCTGACCACCAGGAGCTCTTACAACCGGGATGACCCCTGAAACTTGTTACAAGTGGGGCACAGGGCCTCGGTATGTCCACCCTGGCCAGGTACTGGATGCAGGCTGGCCGAGGGAGCATGGTCCTGGCTGGGAGGACTCGTCAGGACGGTCTGAAGAGAGCTCAAAGCCCACACTTGTTGGCCAGCAGCAGGGGAGACGAGTCCTTTGGCCCTGAAGCGGGCTCTAGGTGGCCCCCCATAGAATCACCACCATGGGGACAGACTCATGGGACTCACAGTCAGTGCGACTGTCATGTAAGCGATGGTGAAAGGCGGAGAGAGACTAGCCTGTGGAGGAGCGGAGGGAGTCTGAGACCGGGTAGAAGGAGCGGCACCTTCCAGCACCCGTGACCCCGTATGCTGTTGTCGCGCTTACACACTGTGGTGTAGACGCCGCACTGGCATAAATCCATTGTGTGCAGGGGCAGAAGTCACAGTGTGTCAACAGCCACTCACATGTCGCGTGAGCCTGGGCTGTCAGGCCTCACCTCATGGTCCCCCGGAGGCCGTCGGCTGGGCTCTGCCGAGGACTGTGAGTCTGCCACTCGGCCCAGCAGAGCAGGCCGGTGAGACTGATCTACAGGATGTGCTCTGGGCACTGAGGAGAGCACCAGGCATCGCCACCTCTTCCTCATCACGGCGCACATTTGAACCGCTTGCGGGGTTTTTAAACATACCCACTCCTGGGCCTCACCTCTGCACATCGTGAGTCCTGGGTCTGGAAGGAGCCTGGGCATTTTATTGCCTCCTCGGAGCTTCTGGAGACACCTCCAGTTGAGGTGTGTTCTCTGCTGCTTAGTAACACAATACCAAATTCATAAAGAACGGAGGTTTATTCAGCTCATGGTTTTAGAGGCCCAAGGTCAAAGGCCTGTGTCTGGTGAGGGTCTTCTCACTGGTCAGAACTCTGCAGAGCCCAGGGCAGCTCAGGGCGTCACGTGGTGAGAAGCCGAGAGAGACAGATCATGGTGAGAAGGCGAGAGACAGATCATGGGGAGAAGGCGAGAGACAAATCATGGTGAGAAGCCAAGAGAGAGATCATGGTGAGAAGCCCCAAGACAGATCATGGTGAGAAGCCCCAAGAGAGATCATGGTGAGAAGCCCCAAGAGAGATCATGGTGAGGAGCCCCGAGAGAGATTATGGTGAGAAGCCGAGAGACAGATCATGGTGAGAAGCCGAGAGACAGATCATGGTGAGAAGCCGAGAGACAGATCATGGTGAGAAGCCGAGAGACAGATCATGGTGAGAAGCCGAGAGACAGATCATGGTGAGAAGCCAGAAGGGAGATCATGGTGCAAAGCCGAGCGAGAGATCACGTCTGTGTCCGCGTGCCTGTGCCTCTGCTCTGGTTTCGTTCTCCCCTTATAAACCCCCCTCTACTCAGTTATGGGGGTCCCGCCCTGCCGACTTTATCTCCTCTTAATCGTCTACCCAGAGCTCCACCTCCTAATCCCATAGTTAGATTAAGTTTCTACCTTCTCAATACTGTCACGACCAAACCAACACTTGAATTTGGGTCAGGAACACATTCACACCATAGCAGGACGTCACACCACGCGAGCCAGCGTGTGACCCATAATCTGGCCATGAGAGTGAGGTTAGACAGGTCTTATGTGGGTCACTATTGTTGTTTATGAGAGACAGCACGTATCTCTCCTCTCGGGGCCGGCTCTCTGAGCATGCTGTGATCCTTCCAGTTATCTCCTGTGGAGAGCTCCCCATCCCCCCCAACGGGCATCGCATCGGAACATTGTCGGTCTATGGGGCAACCGCCATCTTCTCCTGCAATTCCGGATACACGCTGGTGGGCTCCAGGGTGCGGGAGTGCATGGCCAATGGGCTCTGGAGCGGCTCTGAAGTCCGCTGCCTTGGTAAGTGGCCTCTCCAGGCCTAACCTCCTTCCCTCACACGGTGGGTCTTTCCAAACCAGGGACCTAGTCTTTGAACAGCAGCATTTAACTGATCCTATTGGCCATCTGCCCTGACTAAACTCAACTGCCTTCTCCTGGGGCGTGGGAAAGAATGAGAAGAGTTTCAAGTCTGATGAGGCCAGCTTGGAGGGGTTCTCACTTGTAGGAAAAACAGTCACTTATTGGCCCTCGTGTGGTGGTGAAGCCCAAGTTTCCACCTGTGGGGAGAGACACATTCCTTTAACACACCTCCAATACCCTTTATAGTATATATTACCAAATTTCACATATATCTATACATGTGCTAAGCAAATGACAGAAACGTGACCTGGCTTACCAAGGACAAAGTTACCATTTGCTCCAGCTCGCCCACCCCTGCCTGTGCCTTATACGCTAAGGCTCTATCTCCTCAATCCTGCCTTTAACCCCTCAGTTCCTGAAGAGGGTCCCAGGCACACAAACTGGGCAGATTGGATGGTCCGTCCGGGGGTGAGCAGCACTGCCTCCCACTGAGGCCCGTGTTGGGTCCTGTCCCAGCTTGTCTCACACAGAGCCCCTGACCTGATGGAGACGCCAGGAGTGCACTCTACCCAAACCCCGCTTCATAAGAATAGTTTGCCTAGCTACCACTCAAGGAGAAGGGAGGATGGATTTAGCCAAACCATCTGTTTTGCATAGTTGTTTTCAACACAGCTCGGCTTTGGCTGCCCCAGTGTAGACCATGGTGGGGTCTATGCAGTAGAAGCTCAGTAAATAATGGTTGATGAGAAAAAGAAGGGGAGGCTCTCAGAGGCAGGGGGTATGAACGATGATAACATTCCACCCACGTACACAGACACTAACCCTCAGAAGTGGACGGCCACTCAGGATCCTTGGGATCTGGGGTTGCCATGTGCTCCACACCATTCCTACCATGCTTAGGATTCCTGAAGTCAGTTCTGGATAGCTACTCAAGGGGAAGGTGGTTGGGTAAATTGCTCCTTTTCCCAACCATCCCCGTCTCTCCCTGTCCTGACCAAGCTCCCCTTCGTCCTCCAGTAGCTTCTATTCGATCTGTTCTCTCCCAATCCCCACCAAAGCTGGGCACTGTGGGACTCCCGAGCCCATAGTCAACGGACACATCAACGGGGAGAACTACAGCTACCGGGGCAGCGTGGTGTACCAGTGCAACGCCGGCTTCCGCCTCCTCGGCATGTCTGTGCGCATCTGCCAGCAGGACCACCGCTGGTCGGGCAAGACCCCTTTCTGTGTGCGTAAGTATGTCATCGCTCTCCCCAGCCGTGGGCTCACAGTCAACTTGGGCTTTCTCCCTTCCTCTCTTGATTAGGTTAGCCAGAGGTTCCCATATTCATTTCCAAGATGTAATAATACCTCTCTCGTTCTCGGTTCTCTGCATCATTGATTACTGCTTTCGCCTTTATTATATCCTTTGTGATTTCTCCTGGTTCTTCTCGTGCTCATTTTCTAGCTTCTTTTTTTTTCTTATTACGTTTTTGCTGTAGTGCGTGTGTTTGCACTGTGATTTTCAAGCCACCGTGTCTGGGACTTGAACCACGGCTGGCCTTGTAGAAGTCCAGTGCCTTAACCACCACACCACCTGCTGGCTCCAGGTCCCCATTTTCTAGCCTTCAAGGTGGGGATTTAATTCATGTATATTCATTCCACCATTTTTTATTTTTATCAACACAAATATTTAAGACTGAAATTTCTTCAGATCACTGCTTCATTTATGTCCCATGATTCCAATAGTGAATGTTTATTATTTATTAGAAATCTCTTATTTTGATATTAGTTTTCTATTTCACCTAGAATATTTTTTAAAGAGGTTTTTGCCTTAGGGCGCTCGCCAAAGAGAGACGGAGACCGAGTCAGTGAGAGGGAAAGTGAGAAACCACCCCTCAGGAGAGATGAACATGCCACTACTTCTTCTCCTCCTGGGATTCTGGGCACACATGCACACATGCCCAGCATGAGTTTCAAGTGTCCGGGATGCAAACCGGGGCCAGCCATGTGGGAGCCTAGTGATGTAACCGCTATACCATCTGCTGGCTCTTAGAAGATTTTTTTTTTTTTTTTGGGGAGAGATTTTCACTGTAGGGTGCGTGCACTCGCCAGACAGACAGAAAGAGACATAGAGACAGAAAGCGAGAAATCACCCCCCAGGGGGGATGGTCACGCCGCAATCCCTTCTCCTCCATTCTCCTCTCGGGATCTTGGGCACACACGCACACGCGCCCGGCGTGAGTTTTAAGCCACCGGGTCCGGGACCCGAACCCGAACCGCAGTCGACTACGTGGGAGTCCAGCGACATAGCCATTACGCTAACTGCTGGTTCCTAGAAGATTTTTAATAAAAGGATTTTTTCCTTGTAGTTGGAAGGGACTTTTTTGATCTTACGTTGTTATTCATGTCTAACTTCATTCAATTGTATATTGTTTTTTTGTTTGTTTGTTTTTGTTTGTTTTTGGAGAGGTTTTTGCTATAGGGCATGTGCGCTCGCCAAAAAGACAGAGAGAGAGAGAGACAGAAAGCGAGAAATCAACCCCAGGGGAGACGGCCACGCCGCAATCCCTTCTCCTCCATTCTCCTCTCGGGATCTTGGGCACGTGCATGCACACGCACACGCGCACGGCGTGAGTTTTAAGCCACCGGGTCCGGGAGGCGAACCGCGGTTGACTACGTGGGAGTCCAGCGACATAGCCATTACGCTAACTGCTGGTCCCTGCATTTCTAATTAATAGAATTTACTGGTGCATTCTCTGTGACCTCATATTTGGCCAGTTGTTATGAATGCTCCATGCACACCTGAGAAGAAAGGGTCTTCGGTATAACTTTCAGTAAATACTCACCCGTATCGTTTAAACCTCCATTCTCATTACTGGTAGCCGACTGGCCCGTTTTGCTCTGGGAGATGTTTACAGTTTCCTGTTATTAGTGTGTCTCTATATTTCCTGACATTGCCTCTCTTTTTGCTACATAAAGGTGGTTGCTATGTTACTATTACGTCTCCATTGCAAATAGTGGGGTTTAGCCTTGAAAACTGTCTTCTTCACCACTTTCAACACTTGTTAGCTTGACTGTTACTTCGCATGGTACTGGGCTTACAGTCCCTGCTTTCATCCTTCAACCTGGGACGGCTGTGACCATCCATTGATCTGAGCTGTTCCGAATCTCGGGAATCAGCTATGACTCTTAATGCAGCAGAACGTTGAACGTTGCCTTCCTTCATTTAGGAGGTCAGCTGAATTCGTTCACACGGATTGATGTGTCTAATGTTTCCTCTTTTTGATTTTTCATTTGCCATAGGGCACGTTTGCTCACTGGAGAGAGAAAAAAAAGTGATAAGCATTTCGCCAGAGGGGATGACCATGCCGCAGTCCCTTCTCCTTCGTTCTCCTCTTGGGATTTTGGGCATGCATGCACACGTATCTGGTGTTTTTAAGCTGCTGGGTTCAGGACTCAAACCATGCAGTCAGCCAAGTGGGTCCCCGTTGCCATAATCACCATGTCACTGGTTAGCCCAATGTTTGCCCTCATCCTGTCAACTTTTATGTCATTATCATCTGTAAAATATTTACCATATTTATCTGCTTGATGTATTTTCTCTGCTGTTTCTTATTTTCATTTCTTTTGGTATTTAGGAAAGTTTGTATCTTCATTTTGTTGTTTATTTTTGTACTTAATAACATTTTAATGCTGTCACCCACCTGTTTTCTTATTTAACCTTTATTATCCATTTTGAAATTGTGTGTGTGTGTGAGAGAGAGAGAGAGAGAGTTTCTAGAAACGGTTTCACAATTCTCCAGCCTCCCACTTCCAAGTGGCTGGAAGTACAGTGTATGCAGGTTACGGGGGAGGCCAGGCCCACCATGAACCCAGGCCTCCCATGAGCCCTCACTCCGCCGTGTGGCAGCCTGCAGGGTGTGCTGCCTTGACTGGGCCTGGCTTCTCGGACTTCAGTGGCATACTCTGACTCTCATCCGCTGGCTCCCCAACACCAAACGAGCCTCCCTCCCATCCTCTCCCCTCCTTCTCCTTTCAGTTTCCGTAGCGTCATTTTCATGCTGTCTGTTACTGTTCTGCCCGCCTCTCGCACTTCGATTTCACTCCTCGAGTACAACTGAGCGCAATAAACACTCACCAGTGCTGCTGGGGCGCTTCCAGCTCCCCCTCGGCAGGGGCAAGCCCAGTCTCTAGGAGGCGCCTCAGAAAGATCCTTTACAGACACTGTATCATCCAGGTTCTCACGTGTGCTTCTGCACCTGTCTCGAAGGACAGCGGGTTGGATGTGAATCCACCATCACTATTTATTCCTTTGACTCTCTTAGAAGTGCTCCTCCATTGTCATTTTGCTTTGCGTGTTACCTTCTTTTCTCTTGTACTTTGCTTTTTTAAAACATTTGGGGGCCAGCAGGTGGCGTGGGGATTGAGGTGCGGGACTCCCACATGGCTGACCACAGTTCAAGTCTTGGACCTGGCAGCTTACTTTCTCACTTTCCCACTCTCTGTCTCTGTCTCTCTCGGGTGATCGCACATGCCATATTGCAAATATTTAAAAACAGTAATAATAAAATTAAATAAACAATTTTTAAAATGTGTTCATTTCTTCTATGAGAGAGACAGAGAGACACACAGAGACAGAGAGGCAGCCATATCAGATCAGGGGCACATGTGCATGTGCCCAGTGCACTCAAGGAGGTCCCAGGATGTGAACCTAGGACCTTTCCCTATGGGTCCAGTTGCATTACTGCTGCGCCTCTGCCTGCCCTCACCTTGCCCTTTTTATTGGGTGTATTTAAGACACAAACTTGCAGGGAGCAGGTAGAGCCTCGCCGGTGAAGGAGTTCACTGTGAAGGGGAAGCCCCTATACAGTCACGCTGGAGGGGAGACCTGAGGGTGTGCGGGAAGGAGCCGAGGACTATGGAGTGGCCATGGCAGGCAGAGACCAGCGGGTGCAATGCCCTGGGCAGGAGCTTGTCCCACGAGTTCAAGGAACCCCAGGAGACCCGCGGCCGAGTGGGGCGACCTGCAGCAGTGGGAGCAAACAAGGAGAGCAGGGACAGAAGAGGCAGCAGGCGCCACGCGGCCCAGGCCCTCCGCTTCCTGAACAAATCTGTAAACACAGCAGTGTGGGCGGAGGCCGAAACATCACCTCTGCTCTTAACAAAGACCAGCTGGATAATGGGGCTCAGCGTGGGAGCCGCTGGGGCCTGCTACCTGAACCCCAGAGTGAACGGGATTCAGCCACCCCGTTAGAGGCAGCTCCACCCCGGGGTAAGGGCCCCCAGTATTGGGGGAGTGACGAGAACGGCTCCTGCTGGCTGCTGGGCCCTGAGGGAGGAGGCAGCTGGGCGGGTGTGCTGGCACCTTCTTCCCCGAGAGCACAGGTCCCTCCCTGGGCAGCCCAAGTAAGATGGCGCAGAAAAGGGCCGGGAACTATGGCCGCACAGCCTTCCTGTGGGAGGGGTGGCCGGGGCTGCCCCCCAGCAGCATGGCTCCCCGCAGTGGCCTGGGCCACGGGTCCAGCGTGGTGACAGAAACCACACCAGGCTTGGTTGTCACCTCTGACCCCGCTAAGGCTGGCCAGGAGCGAGGATGGGTCCGAGTCAGCTGCGGTGGGCCTCGGGCTGCCCAGATATGAAGGCTGGAAATGGGGAGCCCCCGCAACCAAAGGCAGACAAAATGCAGAGGACTGGCCATCCGACCACACGGAACACATCCTTGCCCCAGTGCCCCGTGGGAAGCCAGGGTGATTTCTCTCGAGTCGTCCCATCCCCATGGCGGTTTCAGGAAATAAAGGTTTCACAGCAAAAGACACTGAAGTTAGGCTAAGGGCTGAACTTGGCTGATGAGCAGGAGCGTGCCAGGGAGAAGAGGCTGGCTCCGGGTGTGGAGTGAGAGGTGTTACCTGTCTTCTGTTTTGGTTACAGCAATTACCTGCGGACACCCAGGCAACCCCATCAATGGCCTCACTCAGGGCAACCAGTTTAACCTCAACGACGTGGTCAAGTTTGTTTGCAACCCCGGGTTTGTGGCTGAAGGGGCTGCTAGGTCCCAGTGCCTGGCCAGCGGTCAGTGGAGTGGCGTGCTGCCCACCTGCAGAAGTGAGTAGCCTCTCCCCTCCCACGCCGCTGCCTCTGCCCTACCACCCAGCTGTCACCCAGGAGCAGGGCAGAGAAGGGTCGGGAGTGGGGACTTTCTCAACCCGAGATACAGCTGTGTAAACTTTCATCATGGATTGTATAAGAAAGTGTAACTTAGTTTCATCCTTGAAGTATTTTTCTTTACATTTCCAAGAACGAGTAATTTATCATCATCCTATAAACCCCATTATTTAAAACAAATAGAAGTTTATTTTTCTCACCTAAGCAGAAGATCTAGAAGTAGTGCTATTTCTGTAGCTGTTCAGTGAGGTCAAGAGCAACATCTTGGTTTTCCCTCATGACTGCAAAGTGGCTGCTGCAGCTCCTTTAAAATCATACTCAATAGTGCTCTATTCTTGATGAAAAAAATTGTAAGACCACAAGGTTGGAATACAGATAAAAAGCCAGGAGTCTAAGGTTTGAAATGAATGGGATGGGGATGAGAAGGCAGAGAAAGGAACCACAGACTGAAGAGGAAATAATAGACAAAAATCTGACCCCCTTTGGACTATCTAGGAAAGAGTTTCCCAACTATTTTAAAGGCTTATCAAGATAAAGAATACCTGCCCTGACTACCTCATGTGGTGAGTATGAGCCTCAGGTGAAGTGATAGATGCCAAGGTGTTTTGGAAGCAGAGGCCGAGACCATGGGTTATGAATTATACCATCGTTTTTCTAAACCCTCACTCTGGAACTTTTCAGTTGAGCTGCTTTTGAAACACTTGAACATTTTAAAGTCAAATTGGTCCCCCAGGATATTAATGTCTCCCTGAAATACTCATAAAAATGATTAAAACAGTTTTCGAAAGAGCTCGCCCTGCTCAAGTCAGCTCAGCTGTGTGGGTTTACGATCGACAAGTTTTGCTATGGTGGACACATGGGGACAGGGACCGGGCACACAGAGGTGGGGCAGTCTCGCCCTCCAGGGACGCAGGTACCCAAATGAATCCCAGTCTAGCCTAGGCGTCAGCAGTAGAGGTTTGTACCGGGGAGCATTGGGGAGGAAGGGGAGCCAGCCCGGGAGGAGGTGGGAGCTTCTCTGAGGAGGTGCTGTCTCGCTGGACGCAGAGGGTCCACCTGTGGCCCAGGTGCCCCAGGCTGGGCAGAAGCGCAGCAGCCCCAGGGCCAGCCCCCTTCCCACGCAGGATCTGCGCCATCACCTCGTTTGGGCCGAGCGCTCGCTGCGCTGGGACTCCTGAATCCTCGTGTAGGAACTTAAGGAAGCCCTCACACCCAGGTCTCTGCCTCTAACCATCCCGTCCCGCTGCAGTCCTCAACTGTACGGACCCGGGGCACCAGGAGAACAGCGTCCGGCACGTCCACACCAGCGGCCCGCACGGGTTCAGCTTTGGCACCACCGTGTCTTACCAGTGCAGCCACGGCTTCTACCTGCTGGGCACCCCGGTGCTCAGCTGCCAGGGGGACGGCACGTGGGACCGCCCCCGCCCCCAGTGCCTCTGTAAGTAGACGCCGCCCGCTCAGCGTGACTCGCGGGGCGGTGCGCGTCGGAGAACAGGCCTCCCCTTTGCGTGTGTGTGGTGTGCACGTGTGTGTGCGCCTGTGCGTGTCCTACGTCACCGTGACAGTCACTGGGGCTGTCCCCGACGGTCAGAGCCCTTCTGAGCCTTGGGTGGACTCGTCCTCCTTGGCTAGAAGCCCGTCGCCTTCCTCTCTGGCCCTGCCGCCAACCTCTCCCGCCTTCGGGCTCCCTTCCCTCAGGACGCCAGCTCCACTCACCCCGCCTTGCCTTTCCAGAAGCACAGCTCAGGAGCCCCTTTCTCCTCTGAAAGACTGACACACACAGGCCCCAGGCTCGGGCAGACCGGCCTGGATTGGAATTAAGCTGTGTGGGTTAGAAGACATCTACTAACCCGCAGAGGCTCATGGTCTTCATCCACAAAAATAATGCCAACCCCTACTCCACAGGGTGCTTGGAGCATGAAATGGGAAGATCCGTAAAAAGTACCAGGACAGTACATGGCATGTCGTAGCCACTCCATGAACAGTAACCGCATTGACTGTTATCAGGAGAAGCAGTGGCGACATGCGAAAAGGGGGCGCAGGGCTGTCGAGTCGACCTCTGGCTGCCACCCTCACGTCCTATGAGGAAAGCAGCCCCCTGTCTCCCGTTGGCGGGTTGTATACCTGCTGCAGGCCCTCCGGCCCAGGCGTTTCCTGACACACTTGTGCCACCAGGAATGAGGAAATGAGTACAGCTGCTCGCACCCATGTCTCCCTGGCTCAGGCCCAGCATGGCCGTCCCACCCCATCCATGACTGACAGATTGTTTGGGGCTGGAAATGGACAGCAACCTATGTACCCAAGGTGTCAGCTTGAGGGTCAGAGCCCTGGCGCCTTCAAATCGTTGTGTCTTCCAGTGACGTGAAGCTTTTGTTATAAAAAGTGACCCAATCTATATATTACGTTTTTATCCCCAAACCTATTTTATCTGATGCTAGTATTGGCCCTGAGGGGCAGGCAGGTGACCTGGAGGGTAAGGCGCCAGACTCCCACATGGCTGACCGTGGTTCAAGTCCCAGACCTCCCGGCTTGCTTTCTCACTTTCCCTCTCTCTTTCTCTCTGCCTCACTCTGGGGAGCATGCATGCCCTACAGCAAATTTTAAAATAATAATAAATTAATATTTTTAAAATATTGACATCGATATAATTAACATATGATTACATTGATATTTTTATAACCAGCTTCCTTAATATTTGCATAATTTTTCTCTAAGCTTCTGTCATAGGGCACATTCACTCACCAGAGAGAGAGAGAAAGTGAAACCTCCTCCCGCAGAAGGGAGTGGCCACGCCGCAATCCCCTTTCCTCCCAGGACTTTGGGCGTGCACACACATGTGCCCAGCAGGATTTTTAAGCCACCAGGCCTGGGAGCCCACCACAGCCAGCCTGGCGGGAGGCGAGTGCCTTAACCCCGTGCCACTTGCAGGCCCCTGCGTGATGCATTTCTTATTTTACTTCTAGCCGGTCTGTATGTAAAAGCATGTCATTTTGATGTTTAGAACTTACGTGAGGACCTTCCATTCCTTCCATTGGGAGTTTTTCGTTTGTTTTGGGCTTTGGCCATAGGACATGTGCACTGCCGAAGACAGAGCGGGGTGGGGTCACCCCCGGGGACGGCCGCACCGCAGTCCCTTCTTTTCTCGGGACTGGCAGACACACACATGCAGCGAGCGCGCTTTCCAAGCCGCTGGGTGTGGGACTCAAACTGCACAGTTGGCCTTGTGTGACCAGCGCCTCAACCACAGCGCCATCTGCTGGCCCCAGCTGGAAGATACAGAGCATTTGCGTTTCGCTTTTTTTTCTTAGTGAAATATGATTCACATACCGCAAAATTCACTCAGAAGCTTACAATTTTGTGATTTTGGTATGTTCACAGTTTTACAGCCACCTCTGCTACCTACTTTCAGAGCATTTTCATCACCCTAAAAGGAAACCCTTCAGCAATCACCCCACTACTCCTACTCCCCCCAGCCCCTGAAACCTCTGGTCTCTGTTCTTCCCTGTTCGAGTCTGCCTGTTCGAGTCTCTGTCCTGTCCCTGCGGGTCTGCCCCTTCTAGTCCCCGTCCTGTCCCTGCGGGTCTGCCTGTTCTACTCCCCTTCCTGTCCCTGCGGGTCTGCCCCTTCTAGTCCCCGTCCTGTCCCTGCGGGTCTGCCTGTTCTACTCCCCTTCCTGTCCCTGCGGGTCTGCCCCTTCTAGTCCCCGTCCTGTCCCTGCGGGTCTGCCTGTTCTACTCCCCTTCCTGTCCCTGCGGGTCTGCCCCTTCTAGTCCCCGTCCTGTCCCTGCGGGTCTCCTGTTCGAGTCTCTGTCCTGTCCCTGTGGGTCTGCCCGTTCTGGACATTTCACGTAGACGGAGTTGTGACCTGGCGGCCGGCACTGTCTGCTGCTTCCTGGTGGCTGTTCCAGCAGAGACTGGGTTCAAGAGACACCGAGGGGCTCCCTTGTTCCCTGCCTCGTGTGCTGGAAGGATCCCGGGGAATGCCGTGGGATGACGACTCACCCTGGGTGCAGCTGCCGAGGTGTTTGTCCCTCCCCACAGTGGTGTCCTGCGGCCACCCCGGCTCCCCGCCGCATGCCCAGATGTCCGGAGACAGCTTCACGGTGGGAGCCGTCGTGCGCTACAGCTGCACGGGCGAGCGAACTCTGGTGGGAAACGCCACCCGTATGTGCGGGCTGGACGGACACTGGACCGGCTCCCTCCCCCACTGCTCAGGTAAGGAGCAGGGCACCAGGGGAGGTGGACAGGCTCCAAGGAGCGAGCGTGGCCGATGGGTGGGAGGGAATCCGACCTTCGAGCCCCTAGCCTTCCCTCCCACACAGAGAGCACAGCGAGAAGAGGGCGCAGCCCGATGGAGCCCTACCGGGGAGCCCTGCTTCCTCTCCAGGCAGCTCTGGCTGAGCCCGTACAGCCAAGGCCCTGCAAAGCGAGGAAGGCTCCACTCTGAGGGGCACCTGTAGGCAGAGTCCCGTCAAGACACCTGCTCCCCGAATTCCTGGGAGCAGCCCGAACCTTCCCGTTGATCAGCTCAACCCTAATCCCTGCCGGTTCTTGTCTGGTGTCAGACGCCAGCCCCAGCCTGCTTGGCTTTCTCTTACCATTGCCCTCCCTCGTTGTCCTATGTCCCGGCTGCCTGGTGGGCTCAGTCTCTCTGAGGGCACTAGCGAGTGTGGGCACCGCCGAGCCTCTCGTGTCCCTAGTATCCAAGGCAGAAACTCATTCCTCAGCTCATAAAGCAGACACCGCATTGGAAAGTGAACTGTCCACCAACAATAGAAACCACCAAGCTAAGAAAATTAGCATCCAGGGGCCAGCAGGTGGCATCGTAGTGGACTCCTACATGGCCGACCGTGATTCGAGTCTTGGACTTGGCAGCTTCAAATGCATGCGGGACACGTGTGCATGCGCACCCAAAATCCTGGGGGGGAGAATGGAGGAGAAGGGATTGTGGCGTGGCTATGCCCCCTGGGGGGTGATTTCTCACTACTCCCGCCCCGTCTCTCTCCAGCAAACATACACGCACACACTATGGCGAAAACCTAAAAAATAAAGTTAGCACCCTGCAGCTTTGTCTTCTCCGGGGTGAGCCTGCCTGGCTGGCCCAGGAGGGTCCCACATAGGACCTCGCCCTCAGGCTGCGTGAGCAGCTTCATGTTCCTCGGGGACCCCCTTGGCTTTGAAATGAACCCCCGGCCTTTCCCATGCCTGATCCTTCCTGGAAATGGAATCTCAGCCCCCCCCACACAGAAGGGGAAGTCTTCTCCTTGATGTAGACCTCACCCATAGCGTGTGCGGCCGTCCTTGCAGTCTGAGGTTCCCAGATGCGCCTGTCTCCCCAGAATTTCGAACAGGGCCAGAATGTTGAGCCAGATATTTGTTAGGTCTCCCTGGAGGAGGGTTCTAAAACCATGGTTCAAAGGGCTGTCGGCTGCCCAGGACAAGCCGGACACTTCGCCAGATCTGTATGACCACCTGGAGCTTCGGCCTGCACCCGTAACTCCTTCATCACCTGATTCATGGGCAGGGCAGGACTAACATGAGCCATGAGGACTCAGCAGCCCAGACTAGAGGAAGGCGTGCCACCTGGGCCCGCCCGCTTTCTGTTTGGAGCTCTGGTGGAAGGGCGTTGGGGAGGACGGCTGGGGTCCTGGGTACCACCGAGCAAGCCCAGGAGGCAGAGGCGTTCGGAAAGGGCGAGCCAGGCACGCAGCCCCCATCCCTTCGGTGGTAGTCCCGTGCACGAAGCGTTGTTTGATGCAATCCCATTCGTCTCTTTTGGGTTTTGTCGTCCATACTTTTGAGCTCTTGTTTAAAAACATCTTCACCCGGACCAATGTCCTAATGCATTTCCACTGTGCTTTCTCCTAGTAATTTCATGGTTTCAGAACTTACACAAAGGTCTTTAGTCTGTTTTGAGTTAATTCTTGTACATGGCGAGAGCTAGGGGTCTAGTTTCTTCTTTTGCATATGGACATCCAATTTTCTCAGTATCATTTATTAAAGAGACTTTTTCCCTGATGAATGTTCTTGGGACCTTTGTCAAAAAAAAAAAAAAAAAAGTTACCTATGTGCACCTGGAAAAAAATAAAAACAGTTACCCATGTGCACGTGGACTCATTTCTGGGTGTTCTGTTTCTTTGGCCCATGTGTCTGTCTTTGTGCCAATACCATGCAGTTTGGGTTATTATCGCTTCATAGTATATTTTGAAGTCATGTTGTATAATGCCTCCAGTTTTGTTTTTTGTTTTGTTTTGTTTTTCTCAAGAAAGTTATACCAACAAATGAACTGGGCACTAAAAGACAAGTATGTTCTCACTTGTAAGTAAACACTCAAAGATTTGATCTCGTAGAAGTAGACAGTGAAACGGTAGCTGCCAGAAGCTGGGGAGGAAAGGGGTTGAGGAAGAGGGAGAACCTGACTGACAGATCCGAGAGCACAAGTCGCAGGTGGTCGGGTTCTAGCAGCCCATGGCTCGGGACTGACTGTAGTTGGGGACAAGTCAATGCGTAGTTCAAAATAGCTAGAGGAGAGGATTTCGAATGTTCACGAAGTACCGATGGCTGAGACGGTGGATAGGTTTATGGCCTAGATTTGATCATTACTGTGTTCACATATTAAAGAAAAAGCAACACTGTACCCCATAAATACATACTATTATATGTCAATTGCAAAGTAGAATAACAATTTTTGAGAGATTTTTGCTGTAAGGCCAGATAAATGCAGGGACGTAGTAAGAGACAGAACAAAGCGAGAGTGATGTAAGAGAGCCTTTCTCCAGGGCACGTGCGTTTTGCATAATCGTGAGCAGGGAATTCTCACTGAAAGCCCCAGGTTGAATCACTTAGCATTTTTTTCTAAGTAAGAACTTCGTTAAAATCTTCTCAGCTATTTTAAAATACATGTATCAAGAGATACAATACCCAATTGTTATTTGTTAATTTAAAGTAACGGGGCTGGCCCTGCAGTGTCCTGGTTAAGCATTATGGGAGCCGGTCCCTCACGACCCACCATGGTTTGAATCCCAGCCCAGCAGCTTGAAAACCACGCAGGACACGTGTGCAGGCGTACCCTGAATCCCAGCAGGAACAAGAAATGGAGGAAAAGGAATTGTGGTGTGAGCATGTCCAAGAGGCTATTTGTCCTCTCTTTGATGAGAGAAATAAAATATAAATTAGTGAAAGTATAAAACAGATAGTTATTTTTGTAAATATAAAGGCCCAGGATCAAGCTTGAAGCTGGGCCGTCCAGAAAGCAAAGGCTGGCTGAGCAGTTTGAGCTTCATCCTGTAGGCATGGGGAGGCCAGCAGAGATGCTTCCCCTGCACAGAAATGAGGGTAGATGGCCAGTGGTTTATCGCCAAGACTTGAGGATAAAGTAGGAGGCGAATCAGAGGGAGAGCTTGGGAGGAAGGAACTCTTACTGGGAGGCTCTTGCAATAACTCAGGCAAAAGAGTATTGAATAATGAACGTCTGAGCTAAGACAGTGGCATCAAGAATGGAGAGGGCATGGCAGCAGCAGATGTTGGGGACAAGGTCAAAGGGAGGAGACAGAGATGCAGCTGGTCGGGACCTCTCAGATTCCAGACCAGCACAGGCAGCCTCCGCTTCCCTCCCGGTGTGGCTCCCAGGACGTACTTGTGACCTCAGACCTGTGTGTTCTTTGATGGTTGTGTCAATATAACGTGACAGGAGCTGTCCAGGCCACGGGCTGGACACATCCGTCTGTTGCCGTCCTCTCTCGTGGGGACCCACTGCTCCCCCTAGTGGTGGCTCAATGTCGTTCTCTCTCCTGCTCCACTCCCTTTCTTCCATGCTAAACCACAGGGTTTGTTTGGTTCTGGTCCATAGGAACCAGCGTGGGAGTTTGTGGTGACCCTGGGATCCCGGCCCATGGCATCCGTCTGGGGGACAGCTTTGCCCCCGGCAGTCTGATGCGCTTCAGCTGTGAAGCTGGCCACGCCCTCCGGGGATCGTCGGAGCGGACCTGCCAGGCCGACGGCGCATGGAGCGGCACACAGCCTGAGTGTGGAGGTAATGCGTGTGGCCCTTCTGCTTCTCCCCTGCCTGCCTCGCTCTCCCGCCCTCTGCTCCCGGCACCTGCCCTCACAGAGAACGCCCTCTGGCCCGCGCGAACCCTTGGCCTGGCACCCCGCAGCCGTCCACAGCAGCTCGTGTTTGGGTGTGCCCACAGTCCACGGCCAACCGTCGTCCCGTCCTTGTGTCCACAGGGAAGACTATAGTTAGCCCATTCCTTCACTCTCTCCCCGTGCGGTTTCCGTTCGGCAGTTATGGGCCAAGCTCTGCGGTATTGCTGGGGACACGTAGCGACAGACAGCCTGCCATGGTCTGAGTGCTTGTGCTCCCCAGCCCCCACGTGTATGTGGTGAAGCCAAGCATCAGGAGATAGCGCTGGGGCTCTGGGGGTTCCTAGGTCACGTGGGCAGAGCCCTCCTGAATGGGCTTAGTGCCCTTCTAAGAGAGTCCCGGGGAGCTCCTTGTTCCTGCTGCCCTATGAGAACACAGCAAAAGGGGGCCATCTGTGAACCCGAGGCAGGCCCTCACCAGACAGAGAATCTGCCAGTGCCTGGACCGGGGACTTTCCAGCCTCCAGAACTGTGGGAAGTAAGTTCCTGTTGTTGGTAAGCCACCTGCCCAGTCTGTGGCTCTTGGGTACCGCAGCCAGAGTGTACCGAGACAGATGCCTCACGGCCTCAGAGCTCACAGTCTAGGGGAAGAGGCTGTTCCAAACGTCCAAAGTGCCAAAAGAAATACAAATTCAGTTTTAAGAAAGCCTTTCAGGGACCAGCAGTTAGCATAATGGCTATGTCGCTGGACTCCCATGTAGTCAACCATGGTTCGTGTCCCAGACCCTATTGCTTAAAACTCACGCTGGGCACGTGTACGTGCATGCCCAAGATCCTGAGAGGAGAATGGAGGAGAAGGGATTGCGGCGTGGCCATCCCCCCGGGGGGTGATTTCTCGCTTTCTCTCTCTCTGTCTCTCTGTCTGTCTTGCGAGCGCAGGTGCGCTATAGCAAAAACCTCTTCAAAAAAAAGAGAGAAAGAAAGAAAGCCTTTCAAAGAGCCAGCAGGTGGCATAGTGGTTAAGGTGTTGGATTCCCACACAGCCAACCACCATTTGAGTCCCAGACCCGGCGGCATGAAAATCACACCAAACATGCGCAAAATCCCAGGAGGAAAATAGAGGAGAAGGGATTGCAGTGTGGTCAACCTCCCCAGGGAGTGATTCCTCACTTTCCATCTCTCCGTCTCTCTCTCTCTGGCAAGCACACGCCCTGTGGTAGGAACCTAAAACATGCATATATATAGTAAAAACCCTTTCAAAGTAATCTTGCTCCCCAGTAATGTTTTCTAAGATAGTGCCAACAGGGAGAATTAAACTTTTCCAAATATTCCTAAATTTCTGGGGAAAATATCTTTTTATAAAATAGCTCCAGATTCCTACATTTTTACAGTTCTTCTACAGACCTTCCTAGCTCTCTGTAAAATACAGCCTAGGAAGCACTCTCCGACTTAGACAGCCAGTTCAACAGCTAAGGTCAGGTGAGGAGGGAAGAGAAAGGAGCCTGGGAGATGGCACCTGCCGAGGCAGGGCTTGGCTGGAGAGGGAGGGTGTGCCTGCCAGGCGGCACTGAGGGCCCCTGAGGGCGGGGAGTGTGACTCGCAGTGAGAGCCCCTGTGAGGCTGTGCCCCACGTCGCTACACAGACACGGCACCGAGTGGACAGTGCACTGGACTCAGGGCTGGCACGTGAGTGACAACTGACAACTGGCACGTGTGGCAGGGAGATGAGGGGGTGTGCAAGGCACAACTGTGATGGGTCGTGGCATGTAGGGGTCACCGAAAACGCAAGTCATATTTTCCTGTTTTTCTATGCAAAAGTGCATCATGACTTTTCCAAGAACCCAGCAGCTGGAAGACGGAGTAGAGTAAGAGGAAGAGAAGAGGTGGGCAATCTGTGAGTCACCGGTCCCCACAGGACCAAAACCACCTGGGAGGGAATCCCAGCGGGAGTGAGCTGAAGAGAGAAGAGGCCGGGGCTAGAGAGGGCGGCTGGGCACTGGGACTGTGGATCCCAGCCCTGCAGAGCAGAGGGACACGTGCGGACCTAATCAGGGACAGCTGTGCAGGGAGTGGCAAATGGAGCCACAGCCCGAAGTCCCGCCTTTCCTGGGACTGTTGGCAAACTTAGTTTCCGTGGAATGTGGTCGGCGTGGCAGGGTAGCTCAGTGTAGAGGAGAGG